CTTTTTTTTTTTTTTTTTTTTTTTTTTTTTTTTTTTAAATAGGATCTTGCTGTGTTATCCAGGCTAGCTTCAAACTCCTGGACTTAAGTACTTCCCCTACCCTGACCTCTTGAGTGGCTAGGAGGGCCATCTCTGTACCCAGCTTTGGATAAAAATTTTCATTCTGGTCCCAGCCTTGGTATCCTGGTGGGCAGTCAGAAGGACATGGACCACAGCTCTCTTGGGCCTGTCTCCTTTCCCCAGTCTCTTCAGCAGCATTTGCTCCCTTTTAAAGGCTCCTCTTCTCACTGATTCCTTGTTCTGGCCCCCAGCCCCAGAGTGCACTGTGATTTAGGTTTCTCCTGCATTTCCTCTTCCCATTCTCTCTAATCCTTCCCGCCCTCCTGGCCTTGTCTGATGCTCTGTGCTGCAGATGTCTCTGAGAGCTGGCAGCCCTGGACTGACCTCTTCTTGGAAGCCCAGACTTGTGGTTCTGGCCATCTGGCTTCTCACCATTTCTCCTGGGTTATCTCACAGGCATGGCCTACTCAACACATCCCAGACTAAGCTTGCTATCTTTTTCTCTTCTCCCTCCCTGAGGTCCAAAAACGTCCCCAATGTTGTTCGTGTCTGACTCTCAGATAACACCACATAAGAGACCTAGAGTCTCTTCCTTTCTTCCCAGTCCCCTTGCTTTACTCTGCATCTTCCCTCTGTTAGAGAAACTGTCCTTCTCCTGTCCTGACCCTGCACTGATTGATAGGAGTTAGATACTGATAAGGGTTACCAAAGTTTGCCAACAAGGGGCCTTTTTCTTTTCTTTTTTCATACGATTTTGAGCAGATTCATGGTAACTTGGGTCCATGCATATTACAGACTGCTTTTTGGAGTTCTTGCTCTCCACACACTGTACACATCATGCATTATTGTGGCAATGATGAATAATAGAAGAGCTTTTGGCCCCTATAGTTTTTGGGTTCCTGTGGGCGTACCATCAATACCCCATGGATTGTGGCAAACCTTTCGCCGAACCTCCAGGCTGGCTCTCAGAGTGGCTGGTGGATCCTTCCTGGAGTCCTTAGCCCAGTCCTGACTTGTAGACTTTTGTCCTTTAGGGCCCTGTTTGATTACGACAAGACGAAGGACTGCGGCTTCCTGAGTCAGGCCCTGAGCTTCCGCTTTGGGGACGTGCTGCATGTAATTGATGCTAGTGACGAGGAGTGGTGGCAGGCACGGCGGGTCCACTCTGACAGTGAGACGGATGACATTGGCTTCATCCCCAGCAAACGGCGGTGAGGCTCCTGGGGCCTGCATCCTTCCTGCTAAAGGCACTGAAGTTCTCAAGGCCTCCCAGGGTGTGCAGCCAACAAGGGATTCTTGGGGGCCTGTATTCTGTGTCTCCTGAGGACTATGGCTCCCATGAGCCTTTGAGGGAGATAGCTCCTCTTGGTGGTGCATAGGGCCCAGTGCCACTGGGGAGGTTCTCAGCTGGTCTGGAGGGTGGGGGTTGTTAAGCCTCTCATTGGATATTTTCCTACCCTCCACCCCTCCATGTATCCTGCAGGGTTGAGCGGCGGGAATGGTCAAGGTTAAAGGCCAAGGTAGGTGGACGAAGGGTGTGCTGGATGGCAGAGTGGGGGCCTCAACTGAGCTAAACCCTTAACCATGGCTGCTTTTTCTTTCTAGGACTGGGGCTCCAGCTCTGGATCACAGGGTAGGTAGGATCAGTTGGGAGGCCCTGGGGAGAGAAGAGCACTGAGTTGTCCTTGACATCCTCAGGAAGGCAAGACAGGGACTCCCAAGTGCCCTGTCTTGGAGGTCCTTGAAGGTGCCCTGTTTTTCATCAGGTCGAGAAGACTCGGTTCTGAGCTATGAGACAGTGACACAGATGGAAGGTGAGTTCTGGTTTCATAGCCCTGGTCCTCCTGTTCTCCTGCTCTGCTCATGCTTAAGCCCAGCTCTCTCTCCTCAGTGCACTATGCTCGCCCCATCATCATCCTTGGGCCCACCAAGGACCGCGCCAATGACGATCTTCTCTCTGAGTTCCCTGACAAGTTTGGATCCTGTGTTCCCCGTGAGTGCTGGTGCCTTGGATGGAGGGGGAGATGGGAATGGGGTGGGGGCCCCAAGGATTCCCACTTGTGAGGGCCATAGGCAGAACTGCCTGTAGGCATTGGAGTGCAGGGGCACAGGGTTCCTTAGAAGAGGGGTGCTTCTCAGCCATTCTCATGTTTCACAGTAGCCAAGGCCAAGCCAGAGCCTGGAAGGGCCTGGAGGGTACACAGGGAGGTGGATCTGTCTTTTCTCAGTCTTGGGCTCCCTAGCGTCTATGAGGACCAGCTAGGCACTCTGGGGGTTTGGTTGATGTAGGCAGGTTTTAAGATAGAGGGATGGTGGTTAGATCTTTGGGTGGGTGGGTGACTTCCTGGCAGATACGACACGGCCCAAGCGGGAATATGAGATAGATGGTCGGGATTACCACTTTGTGTCCTCCCGGGAGAAAATGGAGAAGGACATTCAGGCGCACAAGTTCATCGAGGCTGGCCAGTACAACAGCCATCTCTACGGGACCAGTGTCCAGTCCGTGCGAGAGGTGGCAGAGCAGGTAGGATCTGGTGGGCACCCTGTCCTCTTCCTCTTGCCCTCTCCCCACCCCATTGCCTCCCTCTGGCTCTCTCTAACTCTCTTTCTCTCTGTCTCTTTCCCTGCTGGGTCTCCACTTCGCTCCTCCACCTCCTTCTCCTCTTGGGCGACTCTGTCTGGCTGCCTGCTCTCTTGTGCCCTGCTTCCTTCACTTGCTGACCTCATGCTCCCCACTGCCATCTGTCCCTTTCTCTCTCCACTTCCCTCCTCCATGTCCCATTTCTCTTCATTTCCTGTGGCCTTCTTTCTGATGGCTTGGCCTCCCCCAACTTGGTCCCTCCTCTCTTCCTTATTTTCCTCTGCCCCCTCCCTTTCCTGAGGTCTTACTCCCCTTTCTTGCTCCTTTGCTAATTCCTTTTCCCTGCTGCTCCCCACCCCGGTCACCCTCCCTCTGTTGCTTCTTTCTCCATCTGCCTCCTCTCCTTCCCATCTGTCTCTCTTTGTCCTTCCATCTGTCTGTCCTCTGTCCGTCCTCACCTCTTTCATCCCTCTATCCTACTTCCTCTCTTTCCTTTCCTTTCTTTCTCTAACTGTCCATCCTCACTTCTTTACCCCCAACCCACTCTCTGCTGCCCCTGCTCTGCCTTTGTCCTTTGGGTCACTTCCCTGCCTGTTTCTCATCATGTCCTCCATTTCATCCCTTCCTTGTCCCCTGTGCTTGGCTTTCCATCTTCCCTCTCCTTTTTCTTTCTGTCTTTTCACTCTGTCCTGTCATACCCCTTTCTCTGCCACACGTCTTTTGGCATCCGTGTCGTTTCCCCTTTGGCCAATCTCTGTTCCCACCTTTTCATATCCTTTGTCCCTTCCTGGCACCACTGTCTGTCCTTTCCCACCACCTGCTGGTCCCCCTCCGCCTACCCTGCCTGCCCCCAGGGGAAGCACTGCATCCTCGATGTCTCAGCCAATGCCGTGCGGCGGCTGCAGGCGGCCCACCTGCACCCTATCGCCATCTTCATCCGTCCCCGATCCCTGGAGAATGTGCTGTGAGTATGGTTCCTGGGGCCTCCCCTCTGCTCCCCACATCTACAGTTCTGGACCTCTCAAGTCCTGTCCATTGAACTTTCCCTCAGAACCCTGGACAGCAACCCCAGCAGCCCTCAAGGGGAAACTGCATGGGGAGCTGGAACCCAGAGATTACAAGGAGGCCCAAGGCCCTTTCTCCCCCTCTCCTGCCTTAAACTATGCAGGCCACGCCAGTCCCAGCAAGCCAGGCCTGCAGGCCTTTAGAAGTTAGAGTCTGAATGCCTTCTGTGGAGCTGAAGGCTGGAAGGCTGAGCTCTGGAGAGGTCCTGGGAGCATCTACACCTGGCTGGGTGGGTTGTGGACTGGCACTCAACCATGCCCCAGAGCATGTCAGGAATTGTATTTTTGCTGTGAACTCCAAATAAGAAAATACCAGTTTCAACCTAACATCCCTGGATGGAGGTGGTAAAAGGCAGAACAGGGCCCACCCTCGGGTCTGAATCTTCCTCTCTCTTGACAGAGAGATTAATAAGCGGATCACAGAGGAGCAAGCCCGCAAAGCCTTTGACAGAGCCACTAAGCTGGAGCAGGAGTTCACGGAGTGCTTCTCAGGTGAGTGTGCACTGAAGCTGTATGTTTTTGCTCAGATTTGACAAGGCTACCCTGTTTAGGAAGAGATGCCCTTGAGGGTGGGTGAAGCCCCACGGATCATAGCTGGGTGAATTAGAAAACGGTGCCCCACCTTTGCACCAGTGCCCCACTCCCCTTGGCCAGGCATCCTCAGGCCATGTCCTCACTCCCTGTTCCACCCACCCCAGCCATCGTGGAGGGCGACAGCTTTGAAGAGATCTACCACAAGGTGAAGCGTGTCATCGAGGACCTCTCAGGCCCCTACATCTGGGTCCCAGCCCGAGAGAGACTCTGACTCCCACCCTGATGTGGCCTGGACTCGCCCTGCCTCTGTCACCCGGGCCCTCGGTCTGGACTGAATCGCCCAAGTCCTTCGAGCCCCAGCCTCCCTCCCACCCCTTCTTATTTATTTCCTTTCTAACTGGATCTAGCCCATTGGAGGGGGGACACTCCTCTGCATGTATCCCCGTACCCCAGAACTGGGCTTCTGAGCCCCAGGAACCTGGGGTCGGGGTGGGGGGAGCCAGGCTCCTGGTTCCAAGCCCTCGCTCCTTAGAACCCTGCCCCTGCTGCCCCCAATGCACACACAGACCCACTGGGGGCCACCCGCCCTCCCCATCTTTTCCCACACACATTCCAGAAGTCAGGGCCCCTCTCAAGGAGCACCCGCTGTAGGGATGCAGGGCCACAGGCCTCCGTGCTCTCCTGAGGCAGGGTCTGGGGTCGCCCCTGCCCCCATCATAATTCCCCACATCCCTTGATTTCTCATTTTTTTTTTCCATTTTTTTTCTTAAAGGTGGTTTTTGGGGGGAGAAGTAGGGGGACTCCACTGTGGGTCCCTTGCCTTCCAAATGCCCCCCACCTTTTTTCTTCGCCGGTTTGCATGAGTGGAAGGTCTAACTGTGGCTTTTATTTTTTTCCTGGGAATTTTTTTGGGGGGAAAGGGGAGGGATGGGTCTAGGGAGTGGGGAATATGGGAGGGAGGGTGGGAGGGCAAGGGTCAGGGGTTGGGTGTCTGGGAGCCAGGGGAAGACTGGAAATGCTGCCGCCTTCTGCAATTTATTTATTTTTCTTTTGAGAGAGTGAAAGGAAGAGACAGATACTTGAAACAATGTGTGGCCTGGTTATTTGGGACCTGGGTGCAGAGGGAGACAGGGTGGGGGCCCAGGGATGAGTGGGTCTAGTAAATTCAGATCCTTCTTCACCCCATCCCGGAGAGAAGAGAGTGGTATGAAAAAGGGTCCTTACAAGGAACTGGCAAGACAAGGAAGTGGTGAAGAACGGGCTTGGGCAGGGCTGAGGCTCTGTCCAGAGTCATCAGTAGACCCAAGGAGGGGAGGCCTGGTCTGTACTGGGCCCTGTGAACTCAGTCCAGCCCCAGTGGCTCTCTTGTGCTGCCTTAGTCCTGTTGGCAGCACATTGGTCTATGAAGGAAAATACAAAAGCTCCTACAGTGAGCTCACATCTTAATGAAGACACCATAAGTTGAAAATAGGATCCTGTCAAAAATGCAGTGAGTAAGCACGAGGTCTGAAGTTTGATCCCCCGTACCTCCCGCCCCCCGCAAATACATCGAGGATACCTGACCTACCAACCATCACAGCTTAGCCTGGCCTACCTTACAGATGCTCAGGATACTTCTGTCAGCACATGGCTGAGCACAGTCATCTATTAGGGTCATAGTAATGACCTCATGTCCCTGGCGGGGAGCTGCAGTTCACTGCTGCTTCCCAGCACAGAATATCTTACAGTATGTTCCTAGCCTGTAAAAAGATCAGATACAAAATTTGAAGTGTAGTTTCTATTCAATGTTTCCTCTGCATAATCATGAAGTTGAAAAATTGGAGATCAAACTGTTATGAGTTGGGGACCCACTGTAGAGGAGAAACTTTCTTTTTATGTGGATGGAGCTGCACTCCAGATTACGTTACAGAAGTTTGTTGGCAAGGAATGCTGTATGAACACTTACTGGATCTCTTTATGCCCCATCTCTATAAGAAAGCTTTGAGGCAGCTTTGCCAATAATGAGGGCAGGAAAATAGAAACTTAATTCTGAAGATAAAAAATAGAAATAGGTAAACTAGTTGCGAGGGTAAATAAGATCTCAGGGCTTCGTGGTAGCCAGAGCAAAAAGGGAAATGGTCCATTAGCTAGTTCATTTATTATAAAGAAAGAATAATTTTAGTTCTTTTAAGGAGTAAGATTCACCTGGTTCTAAGCTGTAACAAACTTGTCAGGTTGCTCTTATATAGAAAAGCAGTTCTGAGTTTTCCTTTTGCCACTGTTCATGTACTTGACAAGCTCCCACTGTGAAGGTCTGAGTGGTTCCAGATAAGTCATTGCTGGCAGCAGCTGTGCCATCACTCTCTTGTCTCCGATTCTTAGGGGTTCACAGGGGATGCCCTGGAGAATGTTCTTTGTAGCACACCATCCTGCAAGGGCCTTCGGAGTCCTAGCGGGTGGGTGGGATTCAGGAGGCCTGCATTTCAAGATCCTCCCTGATGATTCTTGTGTGGTGCTGGATGGGAAAGCATTGCTTTGGAGGAGAGCTTTTATATAATCCTCCAAGTTTGCATCTGCGGAGGAGCAGGCATCTTGAGACTGCTGATGTTCTCTACCATGGGTTACAGGGAAACAGCTGGGAGTTGAGAAAGTTATGTGTGGGTAATGGGTCTAGATCTAAGAAGTTAAGGGTAGCTTACCTAGAATCACTTAATTCTGCACTGTATTATTTTTGGAGTACTGGGAAACCTAGGGGCATTCTACCACTGAGCTACACCCCCATCGCCTTTACTCATTTTATATCTTTGTTTTTTTGTTTGTTTTTGTTTTTAGAGACAGGGTCTCACTATGTAGTTGAGACTGACCTGGAACTCACTATGTCGCCCAGGCTGCTCTTGAACTCACAGCAATCCTCCTGCCTCAGCCTCCTGAGTGCTGGGATTACAGGCATGTACCACCACACCCAGCACTCATTTTATATTTTGAGACAGAGTTTTGCAAATTGTCTTATCTCAAATTTGAGATCTTGCATCAGTCTCCTGAGTAGCTTGGATGTGTATGCATTATTTTTAAGTTATAAAAGTAACATGTACCTGAAAATATTCAGATGTATATTTACATGGTTTAAAGAGGACGCTCCCCCATTTCCTTCTACATACTAATCAGGACAGCACAGTAGCAGTTTGGGATGTGCTCTTCTGAATGTGTGCAGAAGTCTCCTATGCTCCCTTGAGGAGGCAGACTACTTTAGAGTCCTGAGCTCCCAGGGGGACTTGGGTTTGAATCCTGGCTTCTTTACTCCCTCCTTCCCTTGTGTCTTTCAGTGAGTACTTCTTTGCCTTGGTGCTGTGTAGTACTCTAAATGGTGAGGAGGCAATGTCCATATCCTCAGGAAACTTTAAATCTGTCCAGTAGAGATGATAGATAATAGGAAATAAGGAAGTGTGGATGATTTGAAACAGCTCTACTAAGCAAATAAAGTGAACCCTGGGCTTGCTAGTTAGGTTGGCTGGGGAAGCCTCTAGGGGTAAAATTTGGGCTGAGCCTTGAATAATGACAAAAACGAGTGGAGGGAGAGTGCCAAGGAGAGGGACAGTGAGGCAGGGCCAAGTTTAGAAAGATGGAGGACAAAAGGAGGGCCTTGGGGTGGAGCAAGAAATCGACGGGTCAGAGGGGTGAGCACAGTTTAACAGAACTTTATTCCAGGTGCCACAAAAGCTTTTGAGGGGCCTGTGTGAAGGTGTGACAGGACTTCTACTTCAGCGAGGTAGCTCTTGGTGCTGGTAGAGAGTATACAGCAGGAACAGTGGAGAGCTGGAGAGGTTGTTGCTAAGTTTAAAGTTATTGAGGAGATAATGGTTGAGTAACTGTCACTTTAGACAAGGAGCTCACACTCTCAGGTTATTTCCCTAGCTGTAAAATGGGAATTGTAACTGCCTACCTCACTGGATTATTTGCAGTTCTGTAGATTGAGCCTAGGGCCTAGCACATGATAGGCAAGTGCTCTACCACTGATCTACAGTCCTTTTAAATTTTGAGACAGGATCTTCCTATGTTCCCCAGACTGGGCTCAAACCTGTGATTCTTTGTTTTGTTGTTGTTGTTGTTGTCTTTTTTTTTACAGATCTTGCTATGTAGTTCAGGCTGGCCTTAAACTCACTATGTAGCCCAGGTTGGTATTGAAATTTTGGCAATCCTCCCGCCTCAGCCTCCTGAGTACTGGTATTACAGGCGTGTGCCACCATTCCTGGCCCAGCTTGTCTTCTTGAGAGGAATGAGGGGGACAGTAACTGTGCTTAGCACAGTGCTTAACATGGAGGAAAATTATGATGATTTTTATTAGCCTCTTAGTCTAATTTCAGTTATTGGGTAAACCTGAAAAATAAAACCTGGGGACATTTTTGAGTTTTGAAATTTTCTTAAATTGTTCCCCTTTAAAAGTAGGAAGGAGGCATAGAGAGAATCCTGGGCTCCTAGGCTGGGAAGTTGGGGTGTGCCTGGGATATAGAGTGGAGCTGGGGTGGGGAGAGGCAGAATGGAGAAAGACCCTGGTAGATGCAGGGGGCTCAGAACCCTAGTCCCATAGGTATATAGGAAGTGTTTGTTTTCGTTTTTGTTTTGTACTGGGGATTGAATCCAGGACCTCAAGCTTGCAAGGCAGGCAAGGCACCACTGAGCTAAATCCCAGGCTCTAACCTCAGGCCCATAGCCGAAGACTCTGTCAACTGCAGAGAAGGGTTGGTGATGCCATAAGAGGAGGGTGTTGGTCCACCCTTGTATACAGAGGGCCACTCTTCCTTGCTGCCCCTGCCATCCCCCTTCCCTTCCCTCTGACCCTGGTGCTGGACTCTTCCAGCCTGAGTACTTTGTCTCAAGCTCTCCGGCCCTATCCCTGCCTGGCCTCTGCTAGCACAGGCCGTACTCTGGAAATTCAGTGCAGAGCCATCTCTTCTTGAGATCTGCTGGTGCCAGACTCTGTGCAGTCAGTGTGGGAACGAGGCACCAGACAGAGCCCCCACCTTCTGGGCCCCGGGCAAGATCAAAGCTTGTCCATCCCAAACCTCAGGCTGGGAGTGCTCTGAGGGCGTGGTGAGTTCATGTCTCCTTCTTCGTGGAAGGGAGGGAGCTGTCTGAACTCGAGGACTCTCTGAGACCTCAGTTTTTTCTCATTGAAATAGCTAACCACTCTCTAGGGTGCTTCAAGACAGCCTCTGCCATTCTGCTCCCGAACTCCCTTTCTTGCACACCCAAGAGGCGCCAGAAGTCCAACTCCACTCTTGGCTATGCTGCTACTGAAAATAATAAAACAGAAGCAGCCAGCACGTGCCGAGCACTTAGTTGTGCAGGTGCTGTGCTAGTGGCTTTTCCTCTCATTTATCCTGGACTCTCTGAGATGGGCATTAAACCCACTTTCCAGGTGAGGGTAAGGTGAACCCAGAACAAGCAAGCTTCAGGTATTTTCTCCCTTCCTTCTCGGAGCGCCAACCTGGGTACCCCCCCATCCCAGTAATGCATGCTGTTTTTCCACCAGTCCCTTCTCTGCTCGCCAGCTGCTCAGGCTTCCTTAACATGAAAAAGTATTTCCCTCTTCCTGACTCCCCCAACAGGAAGCCCATGAGTATTTCTGTCCTTGGCAGACTTTATCAGGGCCTATGGGGTCAGTGAGGAGCCCTGAAGGTCACCTCTACTCCCCAGCAGGCTGTCTTGGTCCTCACGCTTCTCCCACTGACAGGGATTCTATCCTGGGCTGCTTGCTTTCCACTCATCCCTGTCCCTGAGCGGGGCTCATCAGAGGGCACTACCAGGCCATGCCCATGACTCTCCCTTCTGGATCTACACTCAGAAATCTCTGTGAATTCCAGATCCATCCCCAGTAGCCTTCTGGACTCTGGTCGGATGCGTTGCTACTCCCCACCCCCACTCCTTTGCACATTTAGTGGCCACCAGGTTCTCTATTCCTTCTGTCCATGTGGCTCTCCCTGTCTGACTTAAACCTCATGGTTTCTTACTAGGACCAACAACAGCCTCCTAACTGATCTCCCTGCTTCTGGGCCCTGTACCTCTGATGCATCTCCCTTGCAAAGGTTGAGAATTGTTCATCTCAGAGATCTGACCTCATCACTGTCCTGCCTGCAGCTCTTCACAGCCCTATAGTCTATAGTCACAGTGCTTGGATTTCTTGATCACGTCTCTTCAGCAAAATGTTTTTGAGTGTGTCCCCCAGTGCATATTCACCAGTCCTGCAAGATGGCCCCCAGTGGCTCTTACTTCCTGGGACTCACACCCTTGTGGAGTTCTTTCCCAGGATGAGTAAGGCTGATCCATAATGCCACTAGGATGGTATGGAAATGTGGGACTGTTGCGTCCTAGGCTAAAGCATGAAAAGGATTGTGCTTTTGGGTCTCTTGCTCTGGGAGGAATCAGCAGCGAGAAAAGGCCCATGTGGAGAGGAACTGAGGCTGCCTGCCAACAGCCGGAACTCACTTGCCCGTCATGAGGATGCTACCTTGGCAGTTGACCTTCTAGCCTCAGTCAAGTCTTCAAATGAATGTGATATTGACTGACATCTTGGTGGCAGACCTTGAGTTAGAATCAGTTGGCTAAGTTGCACCCTAAGAAACTGAGATGAGCTGAGGGTGTGCAAGATCTTGGGTTTCATCTCTAGCACCAAAATAAACAAAAACCCAAAACCAAGTGAGATGATCAAGTTCACTGTTTTAAGTTGTTAAGATTTGGGGAATTATTTTGTAGCAATAAATAACTAAAACAAGTACAACTGTACAGATTTATTAATCACATTAGAAAACATCTTTCTAGACAAATCTAAAGAAGAGTGATTTAAACACACACACACACACACAGAGCACTACTCCCTAATCAGTGAGTTTGAGGAACATGGTCATAGGATTGAAACAAGATTGCAAAACATTCCAGTGCAACAAGCAAACATAAAAATGCAGACTATAAATGGCTTTCTGCAGTTTTACAAGCGGAGTACCTCTGTGTAACTGGCATCCAAACCAAGAAGCTGGATGTTCCCTTGCCCCTGAGGCCCCCTTGTGGTCCCTGCGAGCCACTGCCACCATGAGGGTAAGCACTATCCTGACCAGACCAGTATAGGATCATTTGCTTGAGTAACAATATTGTAAGAGTTAAATTAACAGTCCAATTGTCACCTAAATCACTGGCCAAGAGCCCAGTGCAAACAAGTGACACAAGGGTTTTCAGGACACAGACAAACAAGGGCACACACAGAGCTGTCACATTTTATGCAAGCAATATTTCCCTGAATATCTCCATAATCTAGAACCCTCACAATTCAAGTCTGGTTTTCTCTTTGAAATATCTGTAAAGTAGCATTTGCGTGACTTCAATATGTGGAGTCTAAAACAAGACTTGTTAACATCTTTAATATTGTCTGAGTTCCAAGTTCATTTGAATTCAGACGACCCTCAGGGGCTGTGAGGGATCATATTTTAGCACCTCCAGGGTCCTGGTTTGTGGTTGGGATGGGACCTCAATGCTCACTGTGGCTCTGGGGGCATCCCACATGTTAGTTCTCCTTTTGCTTCTTCCTCACAGCATGACCCTGGCAAGCTCTTGCTTTTCCAGGGCTTCAGCTTTCTCACCTGAAAAATGGGTTGTGCCCTGGCGCTAATAAGAGAAATGAATGAATGAAAAGACAGGAGTCAGTAGACGTTTGTTGGCATCACTGCCAACTGAGGCTTCCCACCAGCTCCCATACCATCCCGTGCTGCTTGGAGGTCTTCAGACTCCCCAGGAGAGTAAGGTCAGGTCTGGGGAGTCTGGGGGCTCAGCCTATAGGAAGCTGTGGCCGGCCATCTGGATGCCAGGGTCACAGGCCCAGGTTGGGTAAGAGCAGGAACCTGTCCATCTCTCTGATCCTAGTCAGGAATATTTGGAGACACCAACAATTCTGGGAAATTAAGAGGCAGGAAGTGGAAGGGGGAGGGGAAGAGGGAAACAGCAAACTGCCCCCCGCCAGGGCCTGGTCCCCCTCTCAGATTATGTAGTGAAGAGTTAGGTGACTGAGGTGTATGTATGGGTACAGACCAGGAGATCCCCCCTCCCTGAGAAGAAGGGCAGGGGTAACCCCATCCCCCACTCACGCCCGACCCATCCCCCAAGTTCCAAATCCATTTCCACCTCTGTTTACTGTCCAAAGTCCCAGGTGCTGGCGATGCCAGGTTTGGTGTGCTCAGACACCCAGACTCACAGGCCCCAGGGCCCTCATATGGACCGTGCCCCTCCCTTCCATTGTCCAGGGCTGTCTGCCTGTCCCACTTCTCCAGGCTTCCAGCCCCTCCTTAGCCTGGGATCTGCACAGCATTGAGGGACCTGGGAGTCAGATTTTGAGAATTCAACAAGTAAAACGGGGACAAAGGTATGGGGAACTGAGGGAGGGGGGGAGGGGGCTGTGTGTGTGTGGGGGGGATGGCAGAGGATGGATTTTGGATGTCCGGCCTTGGGATGGAGGAAAAAAGAAAGGGGTCACCAGTTGGATGTAAAATCGGATCAGACCCTAGCCCCCAGTTTCACTCAGCCCCAGCCTTAACTCACCCGGGTCCTACATCAGCCCTATCATGACGAAGGAATATCAAGATCTCCAGCACCTGGACAATGAGGAGAAGGACCATCACCAGCTCCGGAGAGGTGAGGGCTGCTTCATTTGGTGGCTTTTGCCCTTTCAGTGTCAGCTCCTGAGCGTCTCTAGGGATTGAACCCAGGGCCTCATGTAAGTTAGGCAAGTGCTCTACCGTGGGCTGCACTCCCAGCCCTGGCTTTTGCTTGTTTCTATGATCTCTGGCTCTGCCTCATCCACACAGAAAATGGTGGCTGAGTGGCTCCTTTCAGGGGAGGTGCAGGGTTTGGAGTTGGAGTGCCCTTTGTTGGTGACAGGGCCCTGCTTCCTTGCATGCCACTTGCTTCTCAGGACCCCAGGGAGGGAGTGAACTCAACTGGAGGCTGAGAGATGGCTGTATTGTCAGTTTCTTCTGAAATTAGGCCCCTCTGCCTTGGCTGTGTTTGTGTGTGTGCGTGCATGTTGTATGTGATGTATGTGTTGTGAGTCTGTGGTGTGTGTGAGTGCTTTTTTTGTATGTGATGTGTGTGTGTGTGTGTGTGTGTGTGTGTGTGTGTGTGTCTATGGTGCTGGTCTGAGCATGGTTAAAGGTAATAGGTTAAGAAGGTCTGTGAGAGGCTGAGGATCTATTCTCTGAGGAGAATGAAAACTCCCTGCATCCAAAACAAACTCCCCTCCTTGTTTTCAGAGCAGAGATTTGTTTAGGTGATGTTCTTGGGGGATGCAGAGGGCAGTTTTCTTTGGCTGGGGCAAGAGGCCCGGGAGCAAAGGAAGGTGAGGCCTACAACACTCCAGATCACAGACTCAGGGCCAAACATCATTCTCTTCTTCCTGGGTGGAGGGACCTCGCGTTCTCTCCTTGCACTCAGCCAAAGAGAGGCGGGATTCATGTAGAGAGGAAGAAATCCTTTTCCACAACTTTCAAGGGCAAGCGGCTAGTTACTCCATAGAAGGCGGCTCTGAAGAGGTTCATAAGCTGCAATGACAAGTCATGCCAGTAGGTGTCAGCAAATACTCGGCGTCTGGGTAGTGCTAGATACCAGCGAAGACTAGGGGTCTGGGTAGTGCTGAGGAAGGAATATCCTTATTCCTAACTTTGCGCCCCTTGCAACTCTCTTCGCTTCCTCTTGTCTGTGCCCCACTGCCGAGATTTCCTAATCTATATACACAGGGCTCCTCCTCTTCTGCTAGAGGAGGCTTAACCTGCTCCCCTGCTAGGACCCTGGAGCTGTGCTGGGCTTGCCTGCGTCCCTGAGCTCTGACTGTCTTGCAGGGCCACCTCCACCCCAGTCGCTCTGCCAGCGTCTCTGCTCCGGACCCCGCCTCCTCCTGCTCTCCTTGGGCCTCAGCATCCTGCTGCTAGTGGTTATCTGTGTGATCGGATCTCAAAGTGGGTGTCCAGGGATGGCAGGGAAGGGATCAGTACCGGGGTTGGGGGATGTAAATTGGGGACGGTGTGAGGGGAGCGACGGGTGCAATGTGGCCCACACAGCCTCCTCATTTTGTCCTGCGCACACCCTCTCCCGCGCAGACTCCCAGATGCAGAGGGAGCTGCAGACCCTGAGAGAGACCTTCCATAACTTCACAGGCAGCACCGAGGCCGAGGTCAAGGCCCTGAGCACCCAAGGTGACGGGGGCTGGGGCTGGGTACGGGTGGGGGCCTGTGGGGTGGTAGGAATGTCGGGACACTGTGCTGTTCTCTCCCCTAGGAGGTAGTGTGGCAAGAAAGATGAAATTGCTGGAGTCCCGGCTGGAGAAACAGCAGCAGGACCTGAGTGAAGGTCAGCAAGAGAGTTTAAGTGTCAGTGTGTGTGTGTGTGTGTGTGTGTGTGTGTGTGTGTGTGTTATGGACAGGGTCTCTCAGGCCAAATCAGGGGCATCTGTGACTGGTCATCTCAGCAAAGTGACAGGCACTGCCCCCTATTCCATACTGATCTCATCACCCTCTTCCTCCTGTTCCCCCTCTGGCCTCTGTGTCCCCAGATCACTCCAACTTGCTGTTCCACGTGAAGCAGTTTGTGTCTAGTCTTCGAAGCTTGAGCTGTCAGGTGGCTGTTCTCCATGGCAATGGTGAGGGGAGTGCCCACTTCTACTTCAGTTCCCACATCCCCCAAGACAGCCTCTCAGCCCTTTCTCCTTCCCTGTCCCTTTAAGCCTCAGAAATGATCTGCTGTCCTGTTAGCTGGGTGGAGTTCCAAGGCAGCTGCTACTGGTTCTCTAAGTCGGGGAAGCCCTGGCCCGAAGCTGACAAGTACTGCCAGCTAGAGGATGCCCACCTGGTGGTGGTCACCTCCTGGGATGAGCAGGTGAGGCCCCACTAGGATCTTTTGGAAGGCTGGTTGGTCCAAGGGTGAGGTCAGCAGCCCCCTCTTCTCTCTCCAGAGGTTTGTCCAGCACCACATGGGTCCTGTGCAGACCTGGATGGGCCTAACTGACCAAGATGGACCCTGGAAATGGGTGGACGGGACTGACTATGAGACAGGTTTCAAGTGAGTGTGTGCACCTGCCTGCCTACAGCACTGTGACTCGTGTCTGGGGCTGTCCCCCTTCCTAGCCTATGGCTCTGGGGCTGGAGGGGCTCCTGGGGACTTGGCTGAGGGACCAACTTCTTGGGGTGCGTGGCTGTCTCCTATCTGCAGGAACTGGAGACCATTGCAGCCAGATGACTGGTATGGGCATGGGCTGGGAGGAGGCGAGGACTGTGCCCACTTCACCTCTGATGGTCGCTGGAATGATGACGTGTGCCAGAGACCCTACCACTGGGTCTGTGAGACAGCGCTGAACAGGACCAGCACACGGCCTCCTTCCCCCTAATTTATTTGCTCAATGCCCTGAACTGCTGAGATCTGATGCTGAGAATCCTCCTGTCTGGGGAAGTCCATGTGCTTGGGGATTTTAATCTAGGATTTTAAGGGTGAGGGAGAAGGATGGGCCTGAGAAGTGTATGATGGATGAGGTTTGGAGGGGTGGAGAGAGTGGAAGCCATGACACTTTGTACAGTGTGCAGTAATTTTTTTTAAAAAAAGTAAAAGAAAGATAAATATATTTCAGCATTCTTTGTATTGTCTGCTTACTGGGCATTAGGAACAGGGTGTGGCCTGGTTGGCAGGAAGAAGCCTTGGGCAGTCAGTAACATCTTGAGAACTAAATTTGGGGGTGGATGGCCTGGTTAGGGCCTGGCTTTGTCATTTGCAAGTGTGTGAGCTTGGGCATATTATTCTGAATCTCTGCTGGAACACAGGATCATTACTGGAGAACATCTGTTTGCAGCAACACCTCCCAGAACTGAACCACTCCTGTTTGTTGAGAGCTTCAAAACTTTGAATGAAACTCAGTTGTATCTGTTGTATTCATCACAGCAAACTGAAGCTCTTTGTACAGTTGGGACAAATACCATAAGTTCAAAATGTAGCATCAAGAACCATGGAAGAGAAGCACCAACATTATAGAAATCAACAAGCAAGGAATGAGGATAAACCAGTTAAGATTACCAGGTGCTGGTGGAATTCTTAAAGTGCGTGGTGTAATTTAAAAAGAGGGTGAATACATAAATTAAAAAACTTTATTTCAGTAAGAGACATATTGCCATTGATCCTCTCAAAATATTTCCCCTCACTTTGAACATACTTATCGCTCATTCTTGGCACTTTTGGAAGCAGTACTGGAAGTCCTCTTTTGTGTGTTTAATTGTACTATCACGGCTGTCTTGATGTCCTGAATTGATTCAAAATGGTTACCTTTTTTTTTTTTTTTTTTGGTACTGGGTATCGAACTCTGGCCCTCGTACTTTCCAGGTAGGCGCTGGAACCACTGAGCTAAATCCCTGGCCCCAAAATGGTTACCTTTTATGCCAGAAGTTGCATGGTATCAAATCCAGTAAGAAAGGTGGATGAGGACACTCCATGAAGTTTTCACAAGCCTGCCTGTCCATTGGATGGCACTTGGCAGCAGCATTCATTGTATTTTTGATCACATCTCATAAGGACAGGAAAGAGGACTTCCAGAACTGCTTCAGAAAGTGGCAAGGATGATGGGATAAGGATTCTTGAGGTGAGCAGGAGTATTTTGTAGGGGATTAATAGTAACATGTTTTTTACTGTAATAAATTTTTAAAAATTTGTATATTTTGATCATACCTTATACGTCTAGCCAGGTGTGGTGGTGCATGCCTGTGATCCTAGCCACTCAGGAGGGTGAGGTAGGAAAATTACAAGCTTGAGGCCAGCCTGGGCAACTTAGCAAGATTTTGTCTCAAAACAAAATAAAAAGGGATGGGGAAAAAAATAAGAACCAAGATATATTATGTAAAGTTACAAATTCCCAATAATGAATGCCATCGTACTGTATATGTAAAATGTACCAATAACCAATGAATTAAAAAAAAGAAAGGTGAAATGTTACATACAGACAGGTTTAAACCAGCACAGTAAACATAGTATTTATTTATTTATTTTGGTACTGGGGATTGAACTCCGGACCTTGCACTTGCAAGGCAGGCAGCAGAACCACTGAGCTAAATCACCGGCCCCAAACATAGTATTTTTATAATCACTGCTGCAAATTTTAGGTAAATCTTTAGTATCAGTATAACTTCTAAACTTATAAGCAGGAAAAAGAAGAAAAATATTAATCTGATGAAACTAGGAATGCAGAGGAAAAAGCAGTTATAGGTACATGAGAGAAAACACAAAATAATTTATTAGAGATTTAAACACACATGTATTGCTAATAAACCAGGTGTGGTGCACATTCCTATAATCCCAGCATTCTGGGAGGTGAAGACAGAATTACAAATTGAAGCCCAACCTGGGCAGTTTAGCAACTTGACAAGACCCTGTCTCAAAATTAAGAGAGAGAGAGAGAGAGAGACAAAAAATGGGGAGCAGTGGCCCATGCTTGTAATTCCAGCACTTGTGAGGTTGGGGCAGGAGGATCACTATGAGTTTGAGGCCAGCCTGAACTACACAGTGAGACTGTCTCCAAAATAAAAAATAAAAAAAGGCTGAGCATATAGTTTCAATCCCTAGTAACATCCTTCCCCAATTTCTAGTTATATTAAATGGAAAAAATTAAGTTATCTTGTTAAAAGACAGAAAATTCAGAGAGAATAACACATAAAATCCACTTATTATAGGCCCAAGAGACATTTGAAACACAGGTTGAAAGCAAAAGTATGAAAAACACTAATGGTTCAAATTCTAACCAGAATAAATTATTATGTAAAGTCCACTTTATAACAAAAGTATTATTAAAGATAAAGAGGGTCACTTCCCAATAATAAAAGGTTCAGTTCCACAAGGAAATACACCATATATACTTAATAACATAATCATTATATATAAGACAAAATTTTTGAATGATAAAGAAGACAAATATTCATTTATAGTAAAAGATTGTAAGACATCTTTGTCAGTAATTTGTAGATCAAGAAGATAAAAATGATATCCACTGCCTGCCTTGCAAGTGCAAAGACCCGAGTCGATCCCCGGTACCAAAAAAAAAAAAAAAAAAAAAAAAGATAAAAAAGGATACTATATTTTGAACCACAGATTGAACAGTTACGGCCTAATGGACATATCCACTGGACTCATCAGCTTCAGAATGCTTGTTCTGTACACAGAGACATTTTCAGGCAGGTGTGGCTCCACTGAGCTATATCCCCTGCTCACAGAGACATTTTCAAAACATGTTGCAAATACTGGATCACAAAGTGAGTTTCCACACATATCAAATGGGGAATTTTCACCACAATGAACAGAAATCTAAACTTTTTATATCACAAATTAGCTAACTAAATTAGTGTAGTAAAAGAGATAATATGTTCAAGAATTCAAAGATGGTTGAACACCAGAAAAATCTATTAATGGGACAGATTTTTTTTGGGGGGGGTACCGCAGATCGAACTCGTGCTTGCAAAGGCAGGTGGCGGTTAATGGAACAGATTTAAGGCATGCAGAAGAATAGATTAAGGGACTATAAAAGAAAATCACACAATGTATAAATAGCCCCGAGCAAAAGCTCAACTCCTACCTATGGTAAAATGTTTCAGACCTTTGGCTGCTTCTATCTTGTTGCTCCACCTCCTCAGTCTGTGGCTGCCATCACGTGTTCCAAGAGATCTGGCCCATTCCAGTCATGACACGTCGAGAAGAGAGGACAAAGTGGAATAGCACAGTCTCTATCACTGAGTACATGTGTGCTGGTTGCGTCACCATCTCAGCTTACATCCCTTGGGTCAAGACCGCTCCCCGAGGGCCGGGCATTTAGCTCAGTGGTTCTGCCCCCTGTCTTGCAAGCGCAAGGACCAGAGTTCGATTCCCCCGATACCCAGGGGAGCGGGGGAGAACTGTTCCCTGGACCATTGTCAGTGGACTGGAGACATGAGGCCAGATTCTGGCAACTCTGCATCCTCTTCAAATATATAGATGACAAAAGTAAACATTAATTTGGGGAAAAATGAGCAAACATGGGGGGAAGGGGAAATTAGCTTTATTAGACCTTAAAATACATCATACAGCCATAGTAAAAAAACTATTGCAATGAGACAATGAACAGAAAATAGACTAATGTTATGGAATAAGTAACTCAAAGATACACTTGTGATAAATGGGAACTTGATATAAAGGGGCAATTTCAAATTGGTGAGGAAAGACTTTATTAGGAATTCCTCTCCGTATTAAAAAAATTAAAAGTACATCTACCTCTAACATCATAGAAAAATTGGATCCTAGACAGATTGAAGATCTACACATAAAAGTAAAGCTACACAACTAATAGGAAAAAAAGGGGAAGAGGTGGGGTGGGGAAAGAAGGAAAACCCGTACTCCCGGGAATACAAGGACTTCTTCAATAAGGCCTCCAAAGCATATGCTAAAAAGCTAAAACAATTTAGTGAAATTACATGAAATCGAGAAATTTCAGTTCACAGACAGTGTAGCAACTGGAAGATGTTTTAATAAAAGGACTATTTGCAAAAGTGCAAACAGGGTTGGGAAACCATAAGAAATGACACAAGAACCCAGAGTTCCCAGGAGGGACTCTGAATAGGAGCTGTGACTTTTGATTGCAGGAGGCAACTATTCACAGAAGGGCTGCAAGGAGGGATCTGGGAAAGTCAATAACCTCTCTTCCTCCCTCCATTTCCTGTGAGAGCCGGAAGTCAGATGGCGAGGGAGCAGTTTGATGCCATGATATAGCTCAGCTTTCCAGGCCACGGAACAGCATGGAACAGTGAACAGTGGGCCTGGAGGGGCAAGTGGAAGACATCTAGCATTGGAGGAAGACAGAGATGAAGACTTGTTAGAGGGCTAGTGCAGTGTGGCTCATAGGACAGGAGCCTGTGGGCCGACCATGCATATGAAGATGTGCTTAAAATTACCAGAACCTAGAGAAATACAATTTAGGACAACAGTGAGCCATCTCTTTACATCTATCTAATTGAAAAAAAAAATCAGAGAGGAAGTCAAGCTCTGGAAAGCATGTGGGGAATGAGAAACTATTGCATTGCTAATGGACATGTATACCGGAGTGGCAATTATACAAAGTATCTAGTAGAATTTAGAATACCTATGTGGAGCTGGGTGTGGTGCTATGTGCCTGTGATCCCAGGTACTTTGCAGGCTGAGGCAAGAGGATTGCAAGGGTTATTGTTATTGTTGTTTGCTTGTTTGTTTTGAGATAAGGTCTTGCTACATAGTACAGGCTGGCCTTGAGCTCATTATGGAGCCCAAGCTGGCCTTGAATTTGTGGCAATCCTCCTGTCTCAGCCTCCCAAGTGCTGAGATTACAGATGTGCACCACTATGCCTGGTTTAGGATTGCAATTTAGCTAGACCCTATCTCAAAAAAAAAAAAAAAAAAAAAAAAAGAGTGAAGCT